AGAAGGATGTTTGCAGTCCAAACTCCAGGCGTCCATCTGGCTGGACGTGGATATTCTTTGGGTCCAAACCAGGTTTGTCCACTCCACTCTCAGTGCAGCGCACTGATGGCAGGTTCAGGTGACATGGTCAGAAATGACTTCATCACCAGCCAAGGCTACGGATCTGGTTGATGAGAACCAAATGCAACTCTGGAACATGAGCTGCAAGGAAAAAACTAAACAACAGGAAAAAACAATAACATAGATTAGTATTCTGACTGTGCATATCTAACAACTTCTATCGCAGCATGACATAAGCCCACATCTTTCCAACAGAGACTGCTGTTATACAACTTCACTGCCAGAGAAATATAAAAAACAAGGGTCTTCTTGTAAAGTCCCTGGTCTGTGACGCAACATGAACCTGTTTGACACAATTCGAAATGTGCTGACGTCTCACAAGACGTGTGAAAGTGTGTGCAGTTACAGTTTGTACTATGATGATTTTCAGAGAGCTGTTACTGGGAGTTCGTTCTGCAGGTTAGTTATTACCGCCAAAATGACTTGAGCAGATAACATAGACAACAAGTGTGATGGAAAACGATCTCAAGTGGAACTCCATCATTGCCTTAACGCATCACAAAACTTCAGCTCCCTACATTCTAGAAACAGAAATCAAAAAGTTGATAAGAAAGAAGCAACAATGTTTTATTCAAGATTTGTTATTTATTAAACAACAATATAACTACAGGTCAATGCGTTATGCCCTTCCATTGCTGTGAGGTTGCTGGACTACTGAGGGAAACCTTCCTAGGGATGGGGGAAAACTTATTTTCGAGTAACTGTTTATTCTTTCAGTCATTTAATTCTAAATGCTAATACCCCCTGTGAAGTTTTCGATGATGACAGTTGAGGTTATCAGTGTAAATACATAAACACAATCTGTACTGCTGTAATGTATGTCTGATTTGATATCATGAACCTGAGACGGAAAATCACATTGCACCTACACCCTACTCTAGAGTCTTATGAGTGTAATTAAGTTTTTAACATCTTTTACCAAACGAGGCTTCTCTACAAGGCACCCAAATCTATACATTTTTGTATACTACAATAACAAAGATTCATGTTTGTACTTAATCACTAAAGTTACACATTAACAACTTGACAAATCAAGAATGAATGTTACAATACAACTGACCTATAGTCTATCATAGCGTCTTGAAGGCAATTCATAAAATATATAATACATACAAATTAAAAATGTCAAAAATGTAGTCCTAGAGAGTGACTTCGCCTCGTGAAGTAAGAGTGGAAATCTCCATCACTTCAGCGCTGAACCACAATGAACCCGCATCCAAGCTAAAGACATCTGACTCGTTATAATGAAGACGATTGAGGATTATTCATGTGACCTAAAGTATATTTAACCACCTAACATTGCTTCAGAACAGAATCAGTTTTCAACAAGGGAGGTTGCTTTTGTTTTTGTGGGGGCATATTACAATAAACATAGTAAGAAGAAAAGACATACAAACAAAGATTAAACAAGGCAGATACTTGCAGGTCAGAAAAGCTTAAATATAAATAGAAAAAATGTAACAATTAAATAACAGTGGATATTTTACCAGCGATAATTGATATTTATAATAATGATGCATAAAAACAATTAACAATATTATTAGTCGACCTCTGATGAATGAAAACGTGCATTGTAAACAGTTGTCTTCAGAAAGTGATCAGACCTCCTTCACTCTCTCGCTATCATATTATCATGTTGTATATTCTTGAACATAATGACAAAAAAACATATTGAAAATGTATTAAAAATCAAAAACTGAAACAATTATGATTAGTATTCAACCCTTAAATATTGGACTTTATTGAAGCTCCACTGTCCAGCAGCTACAGCTTTGAGTCCACTAAAGTCCACTCAACAGATGCTCTCTGCTCCCACCTGGCATTTGGCCAGTTTCTCTATCAAAATAATAAAGAAAGGAAAGTGTGGAGGAAACAGGAGCAGCTCAAGATCAAAGGCCTCCACCTCATCTGTCCAACATGGTGCTGGTTCTGGACCGGCTCGGGCATGTATGTGTGAGCAGCAGGGTGAATACTGAAGCCTACAGCAGCAGTCTGTGGCTCATTGGACGACATTTCATCATTCAGCAGGACAACGATCCTGATCATGAGGTCCAAGAGTTTTCCAAGGTGAAGGGAGAGAAACCAGCACTGAACACTTCCTCTTCTCAGAGGAAGTCAACCTCTGAGAGGAAGTGTAAATGATGCAGAAAGTGCAGATAAATGAAGTAAGATCATGGAAGGCAGTAAATAAAATATAAACACACATGCACACAAAAACTTCAAAAAACAATGTTTAGATAGTTTCTCAATACTAATATAAAAATTGATAGAACTGGACAAATGAATGATGTAAAAATAATTTATAATATGATCAAATGCAGTATAATTGTATATGTTTCATCAAAATGTTCATTCAAAAACAGGAAAACTTGAATCATGACATTTAAAAACAACAGTCAGCATGTTTTGTTCTGACACAATGAAATGTTTGCATTTTTATCTTTAGAGAAACAGGGACCTCTAGTGGACGTGTTTGAGCACTAACTCTCTGTGTGTCCTGTCTCCACACATGAACCACACAGGACGACCACAGTTTGTTTATGTGCTGTTTGTGAATGAATGATTTTATGTGGACCCCGCTGTAGAAGAAGAAAATGGGGATCCAAATAAAGAATAACACTGAAGACTGAATCAGTGCCGTTGGTTGCTGCTGTAAGAACAATGACGCGTTCACTTACTGTTGTACAAACTGAAATGCATTTGAATACAAATATGATTGATTATCAGTGACCACCTGTCTTTGAACTTTGAACTGAACAAAATGATTTGAATCAGTAAAGTGGTTTGTAATTTACTCCTCTAATAAATACAAGTGTGATGTGACAAGGTCTTGCTGGTGATCACATGAGTTCTGCAGGAAGATTCAACCACAGACATTTCATTTGGGGACATTGTTGTTGTTCACAGATACAAGGTGTTTTCCAGAGTTTACTACAGTTCATAGTTTCACAGTAGCTGTAGTTTCTTCAACATCCTGTTAGTTTGATGTGAACCCTGATCACTATATTTACAATCAGATGACTTAGAAATTATACATTTAATTTGCTCACAAATGTTATAAAGAAACTACAGAAAACGTGTATTGTTGCTGCACAGTACAAACTCTGCCTCTTCATATTTGGTGATTATCTGGTCAAATCCCCTGTAGTGAGTTCAGACAGTTGTGTTGATTGTCCTTCTTCATCAGATGTAGATATTTTGGAGCTACGTAGACGGCACAGCAAAAATACAACCAGCAAAAGAATAGAAGGGATCCCAAGCATAAGAATCCCAATAATCACCAGATAATCTTCAGATGGGTCCTTGATGAAACCACCTGAAACGATAAAAGAGAGCAGCATGGTGTTTATATAGAAATCTATTTCAGTAAGACAAAGTCAGTATAAAGGTTTTTATAAACATGTCAACAACTCCTCCAACCTGAACAACCACACAGGTCGTTTTTTTATTCAACACTCTAATACGACCCATAGGAGTGTTTCCTGAAATAGTGCCCCTACAGCGACAGGCGTTCCGGATATCAGTTGTCATGGTTACCATATTAAAAACGCAACTGCACCGAGAGCGGCCTACTGAACATTGCCGTGGTTACTATAATAACAGGTCATGCCTTGATTAGGTTTAGGCACAAAAACTATTTGGTTAGGTTTGAGAAAAGGTCGTGATTTGGGTTAAATAAGTACTTCCTCAACATCAGACAATCTTTGTTGTCATGGTTACAATAATGACAACAAACAGTCATGGGTAAAAGAAACAATATAAACTACTGGTTTCACATGGGAATCGAACACCGATCTCCTCTATCATATTCATCCATCCACCGCCACCTCCTCTTGACGTGGACTTTGTCTCTCTTCATGCTACGTCACGGCACTTTCCCCTTTGCTCCGGTCATCATCACTAAAACCACTGGAATTCACAAAGCAACAAAACCTAACTATGGGTCATAATAACCGTTCGGACGGACGACCTGTGGGCTCGTTTTTTACAGGACAGTCTGAAAGATTTCTACCTGGAACATGAATCTGTGTCTCTCTGCTCTGGTTGATGATCTTCTGTTGGACTCTACAGGTGAAGTTGTTGCTGTGTCTCTTCTCCACAGTCACTCTGCCTCTGACAGTATAGAGGTCATCAGGACCTCTGATTGTCTTTGTTCGTCCAGCAGAGAGCAGCTTTCCCTCACCGTCCAGCCACAACAGCTCAGGCTCTGGATGCCAGCCTTTAGACTCACACTGTAACACCAGTGTTCTACTTGTATTTGCAGTAACCTTTATGACAGGTGACGAGACTGAACCTGGAGATAAGAGAGGAGGTTTTGGTCACTTTGAGGTCACTTTGTAACTTTAAGTATCAAATTGTGTTTGTGTTAGTTCAGTTCAGTCGATCAACACAGAGTCTGACTCACCAACACTGAGATGGATGAAAGCTTCTTCCTGAACTGAGTGAATGTAACATCTGTATTTTCCTTCATCAGACAGTTTCACACTGAAGATTTTCATGGAGACGTTTCCTTGTTCCAGTTCATCCACAAACACTCGTGTTCGGAAATTATAAGAAGGATTTTGAATCCAATGCTCCAGTCCCTTTTCGTGAATATGGATGTATTTTGGGTCCAAACCAGGTTTAGTCCACTCCACTGTCCTGGCACTGATGGCAGGTTCAAGGCGACATGGCAGAATGACATCATCACCAGCCAAGGCTACAATTGGTTGATGTGAACAAATCAACTCTGACTGAGCTGCAAGGAAAAAGAACAAACAAAAAAAGCAGCTTTAATTCATGTCATCACATCGAACTTTTCAATTCTGAAAGTGACAAATAATCAATCAATCAGAGGGAGAACCATCATAATCTTTGTGTAAGATTGTGTAGCACCGATCGTTTTCTGCAGTTGGAAAAGTCATGTGGATTTCTGTATCTCAGAGAAGCCCTGAAAGGCAAGTTTAAAAAAAGAAAAAAGCTCAGAGAAGACTGCGTGCTCTTACTTTTAAAACAAAAATGTCATCACCAGCAGGCGATCACATGTTTCTGAAAGCACCTGAGTGACACAAGTGGATTTTCATTCAGACTGGCAGAAAGTTTGTCTCAAAACTTGTTTGTTTGAGACGTTTACACACGGATTTTCAATCTGTTCACACACATAATATCTGTGTATCAAGCTTTCTTTCCTCTGTATAAACAAGGCCTGAAAGAAAGAGCAAAAGAGCAAAAAATTTTTCCTTTCTCTCCAAAAAATATTGTTTATACAAAAAAAAAAAAACTTCTTCTTGTGGCTTAAGTTAACAAATCAACAGAGGTAATGTCACAGGAAAACCCACTGGTTAACTCTCAAACCAATCAGAGAGCTTGCTACATCCCATGGCCAATTGGGATTGGTCACAGAGAGGCTAAATGACTACACTAATCAATTAGCTAATAGGAAAAGCAGCTGGAAAAAGGAATTGAAGAGTGAATCTAGGGATGGATTCCCATTTTTAAAATACCTTTTAAAAAAGTATTTCAAATTCTATTATTTATTCATGAATGAATAAATGCTTTTATAAATGGTTTACTTAATGAGTAAAGTATTTATTGATGGATTAATCATTCATTTATCAATTCTTTTTACAATTCCTATTTCTAATGCCTTTTGAAATATTAATTAAATAAATGCTTTATCATTTTCCCTGTGTTCTCCTGTCTCATTGCTGGTGTCTCATTCATCTAATCTGTTGTGACCCGTCAAAAGCTGTAAAACAAACACACCTCACTGCCGGAGTGCACGGCTACTGTCGTCGTCTGGATGGCTTTAGACTGCAGTTCACTCAGCTGAAACTCTACATCTGAATGTATTAATCTATTTGCATTCAGGAGAAGTTTTGCTTGGAAATTACCTCCATGAGAATGTATTAGAAGAATGATTCTGAGATATAAAAGCAAATCACTGATACTGAGATGTAAAAGTGAAATACTGATGGGAATGAAAGACAGTCCAGCGCTGGGGTCCATCACTTGATGCAGAATCTTGAGTTTCTGAAATATAAAAATCAATAAATCAATAAATCAAATATCAAGAAGTCCCCGGTATAAAAAGTGGGGACTAAATACCAGACTTAATAATAACCCAAGCACTCCTGCTTGGAAAGGAACCGCCCTCCTCAGGTGCCACTACTTTACCAAGATTAGAGGTTATATGGGTCTATACCTCCGTCTTCCTTTGTTCTTTCTTTTTCACCTCAGCCATGTCCATGTGCATCTCTGCCCTCCGGCCTCATCCATGGGTCTCCCTCACAAACAGCCTTCCCCCTCAGCTGTTAGATTTGAAAAACAGTCTCTAATATACGTCTTCACTTCTAGGAAGCTTCTGAGTTGTTATCTCAGTCATCATCACACGGGTAAATGGCGCGCAAGTAAACCACAACCGACAGTTACTCTGCAACTTCCTGTTATATCAAATATGAAAGTTTGTGCACAATAAAAATGGGTAAAATCCCCAGAATTGGACAACTATACACAACTTTCCTGACATATATAATCATATCTATATCATAATCTAAGAGAACATTTTACAATTAGATTATTCCAGGTAGTTTATCCTTCAAGTCTATTATTCATCTAAGTAGTAAAATATTGAAAACTCTGACAGATGATACAGGGAAAGGTTGTACAACATGTCTGAACTGACTTTAAGGCATAAATAACAATTCAAGTCCAGTGTATTTAGACAATAACGGTAAAATGCCTAAACAACATAAATCATTTGTTTTTAAATGCATGAAATTATCCGCAAGTTTAAACAGTCAAAACTTTCACATGTTTAAGATTATGAAATGATGATGTACCCAACATTTAACACAAAAGTTTTAATTTAAAAAGCAATTCTTACCTGTAAAACATGGCGAACGGTAAGTTTCTCTTCTGAAAAACGATGCGAGCGTCACAACTGAGGAAATGAGGAAGCGTCAATGTGAAGCATCCTGAACAAAGACGTGACAAATAATAACAAACCGCTCTCACCGTTACAACGAGGAAACCACAGAGTGTGTCTTCGTTCTCCACCAACATCCCAGACCAATCAAAACTCTCAGCTAAACTTACTGTCACATGATCCTTGCAGGGACTTTTGAAACATCGTTCTATTTGACTTCCTGCACCAAGGGTGTGAAGCTTTTCTGTTTTCAGTGTGAGTGAGTCACATCGCTCCACAGACTCTTTCATCTCCTTCACTGATGGCGACAGAGGGTGATTATTTGAAGTGTTGATCCATAAAAAGATAAATTTGAGGTTCCAACCTCATTAAGCGTAATATAAAGAGACATTTAGTCTCCCGCTTTATTTGCATGTATAATATAATTTAAATAATTACATTGTTGTATAAAGTGAATGGTGGTAAGAGTAGTCAGACAGTGTTGTGCCCTCTTGTGGTTGAAGTGAGACATTTTTCTAAATGCATGTCGACTCCAGCAGGAATTTAATTGGCAAAAATGTTGATATTAAATAATTCATTTTTAGTCATTTTTAAGAATAAATTACTGGTTGCAGCTTCACAAATGTGAATATTTGCCACTTTTCACAGTTTTCAACGAGAGTAAACTCAACAGTTTTGATTTTGACTCTTGACATCTAAGTATCTTTCAGCTGGAGTCAATTCAAACTATAGCAGGAAGTGTTTTGTTTGGGGACTGATTACAGACGTGTGGCCAGATTTGACCACACAGGAACCCAACAGCAGCAGCCTGTCATAAATTAGAGTTTGACTAATACTTAATTCTCGATGGTTTTCCGCTGCTCTTTCTACAGCAGCTGTGTGAAGCACACGACCCGGAAAAATCACCTTGCACAGCTTTCTGTCACAATCCATATGTTACGTTCAAGGCTGGTTCAGAAATTACAAATCGAAAACTTGAGGGAAAAGAAAATCCCAGACTTTGGTGGAAGTTAGAGGCCACAACAGAAGGACGTTTACAACGAAGGTTGGTAATTATATGACCGCAGCTTGACTTTGTAGGTTGCTTTAATTTATCAAATTCAAATAAATTACCATGGGTTGTAATGTTAAACGAAAAATATTATAATGTAAACAAGCATTTTACGTCTAAATGACCTCATACCGCCCGCTGTCCCAAGCACGGTGCCATTATAAGGTTCTACAGGGTTCTGAGGGAGTGAACGCTCCAACCTTTGTCAGTATAGACAGGCTGTACATCCTCAGATCGGTTAGAGTCTCTTTAATTCAACTGTTCATTTCGTTTTGCGCTAAACATAAGCACATAATTATGATTTATTAATATCTGCGAGCATTTGTTACAGGCAGAAGCAGCACGGCGGTGGAGATCCCTACCTTTGAGAAGGTCTAGAAGTCGGACTTTCTCTCAATTCCTCCATTATTTATATCCCTTTGGTCCGTGAAGGTCCACGATCACAAAAATCTAAAGGTTTTTTTCATCAAAGTATTCAGAGTTGTGAATAGCAGACTACGTAGCTATTGTTTACCTGCGTTGGCGCGTTCTCTCTTTCCTGTTGCATTTGCGCAGGCGTCAGCGGGTGCGTTTGTTTTCGTTAGCTTTCCGGCAACAAAATGGCGGCCGCCTCTTAAAGATCCGATCGGATTTCACTCCGAGGGTCGGAGGAAGACAGCGAGCGTAACCGAGCGTAAGACGTAATGACGCGATCTTTTCCATTGGAAAGGGGTTCTTTTTAATTTTTTGTATCTTTTAAAAAAAATAAAACATTTTATTGAAGTGCCACCGGGTAAAAATACCCCGCCAGTACAAGAGCACAGCGTTACAGTAAAAGTACTGTCTGTAATTAGTCTCCTTGTAGTTCTAGAAATGGTAGATCAACTATATTTTTCAGTTTATATGATCAAAGCAGGGAATCATGGTTTGTTATTTTAAAACGCACTCCTACTGATGAGAAATTTTGCATTAAAAAAATGAAAGATTTATGGGTCATGGGAGATTTTTCCCAGTGTCATTGAACGTATCCTACCGGTGTGACGTCAGGGTAGGGTAATACCGTTGTGACTGGGGAACGTGCGGTCAGTGGCGCGCTGAGAGCCGGCAGACAGACCCGCCCCAGTCTGCACAGCCGCGCTTTCAGGAAACTCTTACTTTTCTACTTTTTATAACTTTTATTTCTTTTTCTTTTATTTTCTTTTGGGTTTTTTTTTTTACGGCTACGAAAATCGGACTTTTTTGTGTGTTGGGGATGTGTGATCGTCTTCTCCTGTTTTCTGCCCTGCTGTGTTGCACAGGTATGTGACAGTTTTTTATTTATTTATTATATGTAAGCATCGATTTAAATGACGTTTCTCCGTTTGAAAATAAGATCAGCCGTGGAGTGTGAGTTCTAAGTGTGTTATTATTCACAAGACAAATGATTTTGTTTTGAAGGACGTTGTCAAATGGCTTCAGTGTAGAAGTGAAGTTGCGTCACACTTTCATATCTAAGGAGTTTGTTACTGTAATCAGAGAAAGAAAAAAGCTGCACGTGCGTAAGAGACATGCCTGAGTTTAATTGTGTGTGTGTGTGTGTGTGTGTGTGTGTGTGTGTGTGTGTGTGTGTGTGTGTGTGTGTGTGTGTGTGTGTGTGTGTGTGTGTGAGAGTGTGTGTTTGTGACAGCATGGGAAGCGGTTGACTCACTGAGAGTCTCATGACTTTTAACTCTTCTCTCTGCAGGTTCATAGACAGCAGAAAGTTGGGCTGAAACATATGCAAAAAAAAAATCGTATTGCAATTATTTCTTCGCATTTAAGGTGGAATTGGAGAAATAGTAATAATAATAATGATGATGTGATTTTTGTTGCTTCTTGTACCAAACAAACATGATTTTAGGCCACAGCGTCTCTGCGGCACCACTGTTGTGAATATTGTATTTTAATTGTCCTTTATATGATTGACATGATTCAAACTTGATAAGAGCTGAGGATAGAACTTTACTATTTATTATTTCTATTATATTATATATTATTTATCCATGAGCTGAATCAGGTGTTTACAAGGTGCATGGATGTAGATTTTGGTTTGTTTGGGTTATGTGTTAGTTTATATTTGTGTTTACGTGAAGCTGTATGTACGTATCTATTTAAATGCCACGTTACACGTGGGCTGTTCAGATCTGTGTGAGTGCCATGGTCGATCAGTTATTGGTGTGTTGTTGATTAATAAGACAGATTGTGTGAATGACTTGATATTAACATGAATTATTTCATTAATTCACTGATTCTTCTCTCGACTTGGTTCTTGAGTCAGACCTAAAACTTGGAGCCGGTCACGAATGTTAAAAAAAACCACTAATACAACTTATAAAGGAAAATATACACTGTCAGACACCTGTAACACTTGGTATAAACCTGTCCCACGACAATCACTACTGTAGGAATGCGAGGATAGTGGTCCCACCCTACTGTCGACGTCAAAGGAAGATATTTGGCACCAAGACAAAGATTTGCCTGTTCATATCAAGTCAAGTCAAGTTCGTTCACAGAGGGGCAAATTATAACAGATGTTATCTCAGGTTAAGTGCTTGGCAACTGTGGCAGGGAAAACCTGGAGCTGTAGGTGGTTCACAGTCGCAGATCCAGACTCTGCAGCTCCGGAGGCAGAAATACCTGCAGAGAGCGACAGGATGAGACAGGAGAGAGAAACAGGGGTATTAATATGTATTAATGGGGTATGAATGTGTACAGATGGAGAGGCAGAGGAGGAGAGAGGAGCCAGGTGCATCATGGGACGACCCGCAGCGTACCAGAGTGTGTTTGTTGTCATTCCCAGTGAAAATCTGATGTTTCTCAACGACTGTGACATTGTGAAATCGTTACACTCACGTGGCCTAATATCCCCTGTGCATCATAACACCACTGGTAGAGCAGTACTCCATCAGAGCAACCGTAATACTGTTAATATGGGCAATACAATCTGAACAAAGTACACAGTGAAATTTTCTATGGGTTCTGTATTTGCCTTCTTGTCCTGTGAAGCTCGAGAAACTTCGGGCTGTCTTTGCTTTATGGTTCCAGTTGGCTGAGATTTATTTTCCTACTTCACTGGAAGAACGGTTTTTAGCCGGCAGCTACTGCAGTATCGCTGTCATTATTTGGGGCCTCCCCCGCTAATGATTGGTATTTAGACTAATGCACTGAGTCACTTGAGGTGTATCCTTTAGTATTATTCGCAGTGCGGAGACAGTTAACAGTTAGCCACAGTGTGTAAGTATACAACTCTACCCTTGGATCCTGCCACTTTGATAGATACATAGATAGAAACGTCCCAATAAGGCAGCGAAGTTCACTCTGTAATAATGTGAAACGATGCGTAAATGCGCGGAGAAAAGGCCGAGCGCACCAGTCAATGCATGAATTGCATGTTGTGTGTTTCAGGTCTGAAAAGGGCTTAAATCAAATGTTTCCCGTTTCTCAAGCAGCATTTCAGAACCTTTTTGACCCGTGACAATGTCATATGAGGAAGTGCCGACTGCACATGATGCACAGTCTTGTTTTATTTAAGATTTTGTCTTTTTCAAAGGTGAATCCTCAGTGTTTGATCCGGCAGAGAGAGTGCTTGGTCCAGAGAAGGTCCTGGCCTTTGCTGGCAGAGATGTCACCCTTACCTGTACTTTCAACATCACCGACAGCGGCGACCTTCCGACAGTGGAGTGGTCTAAGGATGACCTGGAGCCGAACGTCATCTTCCTGTACCGGGACGGCTGCGAGACGCACGAGATGAAGAATCCGGACTTCGAGTACAGGACCAGCTTCGTCATGAAAAACCTGAAACACGGAGACATCTCGTTAAGGATTTCCAACGTGCGGCTGTCTGACGCCGGGAGATACCAGTGTATGAGGCTCTGGAAGAATGCCCCTAAAGACATTACAAAAGTGGAGCTTAATGTGGGTACGTCCAGTCAAGTGTATTTAAAGGTTTTGCAGCTGCTTTATAGTCACCTACAACTTCCCTGTTTCTGTCTGAGTCAAATCCAGACCAATCCATTCAAGCCTGAGCCTGACCTAGTGATTCATTCAGGCAATAGCCAAAACATCTTTTCCTTGCTGTTTACCTCGACCACACTCACAGACACAACAACACGTACATGCTGGTTCTGTCCGGACAGAAAGTGTTATCCTTCATCTGGCTGCGTAGGATTCGTCCCAGTGTTTCAACAGGTTCAGTTGATCAGATTATCGATGCTGAGTAAAGGCTTTATAAGGCCGGACCACGTGATCGCCAAGAGTAGAAGCAGAAGATTATAATTGACTGCGATTTTAGATCATTTTGCAAATACTTTTGATTATTTATTTTTTTTAAAAACTAAAATCTTCTTTGGTTCCAGTTTCTCAAATGTAAGGATGTGCAGCTCTTATTTTTAAAATCACTGTATCACTGTATGTTTTATCTGGTATCACTCTCAGGTGTGTTTCTTTGTTTTGATCTTTGATTAAATGACATGAAGCTAAATCCACTACAAAGTCGGGCTCCACCCAAAGGAGTGTGACTATGACTATGGTTGGGTGTGATACATAACCGGTTAATTATTTACTTTTCCTGATGCCATTCCTGATTTCCACCTGCACGGAATGAATGGAAAACACTCAGAGGTAACACCCCGTGTAATTCTTGTTTTCACAGTTTCGATGTCTGAGCCAAAACTCTCAGTGGTTTCTCACAAGATTGGAGGCGTGACCCTGCAGTGTGAGGCGCGGAGCTGGCTGCCAGAGCCCAAGATCATGTTCCTGGACGATCGGGGAAATGACCTTGACGCTGAAGACCCAGAAACACATCAAGATGAGAGTGGATGTCACACCGTGAGACGACGAGTGACTCTCCAAACCGGCACTAGCAGGTTCAGACTTAGTTTATCACTCTGGCACTGCACTCTGGGAAAACTTTCCAACAATAAAATTATATAAAAGTGCAGTTCACCAAACACAAGACAATCTCTTCCACAAGAAAACAATAAAAGTATGATTCATGAACTAACTGCACTAAAGCTTTATCTGTCTTTTTCCATCACAGGGTCATCTGCAGGGCTCACCAGCTGGAGTTCAACAGGTCTGCGGATGTGGAAATCCTCAAACCAGGTAAACTGGAGCTTTAGCAGCACACCTACAGTACATTCACATTTACACTGTAAAAGTCCCATATTTTCTTCTTCTTCTGTGTTTTATCTGACGTATTGATCCATGAGAAGAGATATATGTGGTTTTTAAAGAACCAAAAAACATCTTGGTGTAGTTTTTCATCTCCTCTAAGAGATCTAATAAAATACAGCAGATTTCAAGTAAAAACACTCCGAAAAACCAAATCCTGCAAGGTTTGGATGGTGGGTCCAGGTGGGCGGGGCTTGGTGACTGCTTTGTTGTGACATCACAAAGTTCCAGAAGTCCTGACGGCTGGTTTTAAGGCTCAGTTTCTGAATACAGGCTGTGTGCATTTCTCTGTGGACTGAGGCTTTGATACTTTCACAGTATTAATATAGAAGCTAGAGCTGATCTATAATCACACTACACATGGACACAGACCTTTACACTGGAGGAGACCTTAAACATGCAGCGTCCCCTGTGCCATCCACAGGTCGTCTCACTGTGGCGCCACATTTAACCTCCCTGCAGCAGCTGATTGAGCAGATTAGTCATGTTTTCTCCTTGTGGTGTATATAGTATTTATGAAATATTAGAATGCGTGTTTTTATATCAACAAAATGTTTATTCTCATTTCAGGTGACTGCATGAGGCCCTGCTCTTGTACCACTGAGATCGCTGCCACAGGGGCCACTGTGTTTGCAATCACTGCATTAGCCTGTGGATTAGCTTTCTTCTTATGGAGGAGATGTGACAAAGCTGGTAAGTCACTGACACTGAGACTTACCTCTGCCCTGGGAAGCTCAACAAAGTAGTTCAACATCTCTCAGGAAGGGAACCGTTAGCCATGAGTCATTGTAACAAGTGAACAAACCACAGACCACAAATCACTACCAGGTGGTTTGTAAACTTCACGCGCTGATTTGGAAACTAACACCTGATGTTAGCGTCACCCTGGTTCCCTCGACAAAGAGCCAAAGGCATTTTAACATTGGGGTTTAGGCCATAAACAAACTTAACGTTTAACGTCTGAACTCACAGCCTTTCTTCTAAACTGGTAAATAAACAGCTGTTAATGCTGATGTTGGCTATGTAGCAATAGCAAAACTTATAAATAGCTCCTTTAAAACTGGTCCGACTACCTGACTGCTCGTACGCCTTGTCCTGTCTGACGACTTCTTTGTGACTTTGGCACATTCCCAGGTTTCAGCAATTAATTTGGTGTGTGGAAACAAGACAAGACCTGTGGCTGAACTTACAAACAAACAGGATCCAATAAACATCAGCATTACTAACAGCTGGTTTGTCTTTATCTTCATACAGCAGACACCGAGAAACTCCCAATGACCAGACAGGAGTCAGGGGAAAGCTCAGTCAGCGGTGCATCTGAAAATCAGTTGCTCCTGGTGCAGAGAGAGCGGGCCGACTTCATAGAGCATCTCAAGTCAGAGCTTTGTGAGAAAAACAAGCCCATCATCCAACTACAGAACGACTTGAAGTCTCTGGTTGTTTGCCAGCACAGCCAGCCAACATTAGTGTGCAGTCCCTCCAGATCCTCACAGATGGTCCAAGAACCACTTGTCAGCTCCAGTCCGGAGACCAGCATCTCAACCAGTGACCACAACCCAACACCAAGTTACTCAAGCATCAGTAACCCACCTGGATCTGCCATCGAACCCCAGAACAAGCATCAAAGACCTCGCCTCCAAAGGCAAAACAGTGTCCCAGCATCTGCCCAACCCATTCAGAAACCCATTCGTATTAACAGCAGCCCGGCTTTTTCCTCTTTTGATGCTGAAGCGCCGTCCAGTTCTTCTTCAGTAGTAAATCCATGTCGTATTGGTCGTTCTATGAGCCTCTGTAGCGCTCAGCCGGCTCCAATGCGCCCCAGGTCTCAGAAAAGACACTCCTTAGCTGTTCCTTTATCACCATCGTTTAATAGCCACTACGCTCCTCTGACAGATGTGAATGAAGAGTAAGAGCCAAGTGAAAAGAACACGCAGCAGTAATTGTTTCAGTTCTGGATCCATCTAGAGAATAAGCTTTTTCTATCCTTCATGCCTTTATATACAAGAGCTCAGGTGTGTGCACAGGTAAACTGCAGCTGATGATGGTTCAGTTTGCCTCAGTCACATTACAAATTCTAATTTCTCATTTTGCACTTTCAACTTTTAAAATCTGCAAACTTTTAATGTGACAATTTGGCCACTGAGCTTCATCTGTGAATGAAAGGATTTTCCTTCTGCACCTTATTTCACTATTGCATTCTACTGTATATATTGTGTATATATGTATATTTATATGAAAATGACTCAGCAGGTTGTCACTGGAAGATCTTAAAGGACACACGCAGAGGAAGTTAATATGGAGCTGTCAGTGCATGTTACCTGCTGAAGTATAAACTTGCCCACTTGTTACACATTTCTACAAAAACAAATTAAATATATGTGTTTATTTTCTCATGCATATTGTAATGTGATATTTGATATTTGGGGATGTTCATTTATTTAAAATAACTACTTGCTGATTGGAGGTAAATCTTTATATATTTTTTAGATAAAAATGGACATTTGTGTATGTTTTTTAAGCTTCTCTTTTGTATGTCCATGACACTTGGGTATGAACTCAAAAAAAGCTCTTTGTTTGTTTAATTGTAGTCTCACTGCACTTCCTTCATAGAATCCTAGTCTAGAAACAGATCCAGAGCACCCCCTGGTGGATAAATGATGACGTTGCACTTTTTTGCACTATGTCCAAACCCTACCGGTGTTTTCAGAGGTGAAGAGTGAGATTATGATCAATCAGATTGGACAGCAACATAAACATCTGATACAATGCAATAAGTTAACACTCATTTCAAGTTACTGAAACAACAATCTGAGGTCTGTAGGATTTCTGTAGGAAGAAGAGGGAGCTGGATATATGAACAAATAAAGACAAAAATGGTCACATGCACTTGCTGGGTTTTTCACTTTAAAGCTCCTCCAGTGTAAAGGTCTGTGTCCATGTGTAGTGTGATTATAGATCAGCTCTAGCTTCTATATTAATACTGTGAAAGTATCAAAGCCTCAGTCCACAGAGAAATGCACACAGCCTGTATTCAGAAACTGAGCCTTAAAACCAGCCGTCAGGACTTCTGGAACTTTGTGATGTCACAACAAAGCAGTCACCAAGCCCCACCCACCTGGACCCACCATCCAAACCTTTGCAGGATTTGGTCTCTCTGATAAGAAGAAGCTCTGATAAACCCCCTATACATTACCTGCTCAGCACTAAATGGCAGACACACAGTCAGAAAGCAGCTGCTGAACATAGTGGAGAATTTAGCAGCTAAAGAGATTTCCCTCAGGAGCAGGTGGAGACCAAAAACAGAGCTAAAAGAGAGGGAGAACTGGGCTTAGATTCATCAGGTGGCCACAAACACATGAATGATCATGTCTGCTGAAAGTGCAAATACATCTGTTTGTTTTCTAGTCAACCACTTCAGCTTCTCTGGAAACACCAGAACGATCTCTTTTTTTGTGCATATCTAGTTTTTTCTTAAGAGGAAATCGGTTTCACACGAGTGGCTGCCCATGACAACAGACGTAGCGACAGACTAAGTGCTGTATGTGAGGGTGGGGTTTGTCAGTGAGGAAGAGCAGAGATCAGTCAGTTGTCGCTGAGACAGGATGCAGTTAACACCGTTCTGCCTGATGCTGTGTGAGTACAAATTCTGACATTTATTCACTTTTTTGAAAATAATCTCTTTTTCTTAAACTGCTTGACATGTTGTCGACAGATGTTTTACTGTCACTGATTAGTGTTTCACTTGATGATTTTCTCATTTGGCTTTACTCTTTGCATTTTTCTCTTAATTTCTTCTTGCGTCTTGAGCGATTTTTCTGTCTTTTTACTCATCATCTTTTCCTGCCTCCCTCACAATTTCTTTCTTTTTGTGCTTTTTCTTTAATATTTTTTCATCTCTATGATATTTTTTCCTCTTTCTTCCCCCGTGGTTGTTATTCTTTTCCTGCTTTCACACTTTTTTTTCTTACTTCTACTGTTTTCTGTCTGCTCCTTTCCTTTTGTTGTTTTCCTGATTTCTTCCCTGCACTCCTTCCTTCCTCATCTTCCTCTCTTCTCTGCTTCCTCCTCCCAGCGGCCTGTATTCGGGTCAGCCCGGACAGGTCTCAGTTCTTCAGGTACGACACCATCACCATGAGCTGCGGGGATGTGCTGAACTCCACCGGGTGGAAGGTGAAGAGGAAAACACTGGAGGGCGGGGTCAGACCCTGCTCCTTAGGTTGGGGCTCCACCTCCTCGGGGTCGACTTGCATCATTGGAAACATCTACCCATCGGACAGCGGGGTGTACTGGTGTGAGTCTGTNACCATGAGCTGCGGGGATGTGCTGAACTCCACCGGGTGGAAGGTGAAGAGGAAAACACTGGAGGGCGGGGTCAGACCCTGCTCCTTAGGTTGGGGCTCCACCTCCTCGGGGTCGACTTGCATCATTGGAAACATCTACCCATCGGACAGCGGGGTGTACTGGTGTGAGTCTGTGGACGGGGAGCAGAGCAACAGTGTCAACATCACGATCACTGGTACAGCACACAACACTGAAAACAAGTGGGGTGTTTGATATTATCCTGCCTGGAGTTGAACTGAAAGCTGCATTTAATCCACATCAAAATCCACATGTAGGTTTAGGATTATGTTGGAAATTAAGACGAGTTTCTTTCTTTTTGTAAAGATCGTACTGTGATCCTGGAAAGTCCTGCCCTCCCTGTGTCGGAGGGAGCCGCTGTGACTCTGTACTGCAAAGCTGAGACGCGCTCCCCCGACCACGTGTTTAATTTCTATAAAGATGGCCGCCCCATCGGCAGCGGCTCCACAGGTCAGATGACCATTCACAGTGTTTCCAAATCTGATGAAGGCCTCTACATGTGCAGCGTTTCTGGAGGTGAAGAATCAAGAGCCAGCTGGCTGGCTGTTGAAGGTGAGACGACCAGTCGACAGTTGCTATATAACTCAGAAAATGGCCGACAAATATACTATATGAACATGTTGGGACACAAAAACCTTTAAACTACCTTAATCACATATCCAGTAGACCTCCGCAACACCTGGAAACTGACTTTAAAGTGTGAGATCTTTGACCTCTGATGGTCAAACGTCTCATTTGACTGCAGTGAGGTAGAAGCGTACTCGAGGGGGCGTGTCAGTACGATGTGACATCACCACTGGGTGTAGTTACAGGGGCAACAGACATGAAGCTTTCAACCAGGGGTCACTGCTTTTCAACCTGTTATTAAAGGTATCCATGGAGGTTTTTGAGAGCAGCCCCCATTTTCAAAATATTTTCATCCCCAAATCCTAAACGTATCTTTATGCACATCGTATATGTTTATTCACTGTCCCTATTTCTTAATTTTCTTCACTTTCTTTTTATTTTTTGAACGTATGCTCTGCAAACATTGTTTGCTAGTACTTTGTAATATCTATTTGCAAAACTGTTGTACACATCTTTAATTGTATTCTTATATTTTGGTCCACTGTCTGATTGAAAAATTGATTTCTCATGAAAAGATGAATCAAGAGACCAAACAATCCCACAAAAAGTTTATATCTATATTGCAAAGTTGAAATACATGTGAAGGGAACTATGGAATTATGAAATGTGAAGTTTCTTTCTTCCTTTATTGGGACAGTTTTTAAAAATTGTTTTAACTTTACAGCTTCATCCTCATCTCGGACTGCTTCATGTTCAGTTTCTGTCTTGCAAATCATGTTTCACCTGCTGGTGGGAGCTCCTTACCTGCTGTCCACCATCTTACTGGGACTCATATACAGAGACAGGAGGAGAGGTAGGTAAACTCCTGTGAGACAATCTTTCTTCTACTAGCTAATTCTAGCTAATCATATCAGGCTAAAGCAACAAACCACCTCAGTTAGCAAGCTGCGCTATCGGCTAGGTAAGTTCTTTTATCTTTACCTCTTGTTTAACTTCTGCAACATCTTCCCAACCTTCAATAGTGACTGTTTGATAATCAAAACTGTAGCCTGTAGAAAGAAAGTGAGCTAAAAACACTGTGTCATCTGCGTAATGGATGATTCCAGTGAATATCTTTTGTCACACAATGTGGAAAATAATTAGATTTAAGGCTTTTCTCTTGAATTAGATGTGAACCACGTGACTGTATATAACCTTTTACACACATAAACCTACCCGTTCAACCTGATTGACTCAACTTGCATCGAACCTACTCCTCTCAGACACAAAGAAACCCTAAAGTTAAATTGTCACTCTCAAGATTTCATCGGCTTTTGCAACTAACAGGTTGAGACGCCAAAGACATTCTTGGCTGCATCTTTCTCTGGCATCTCTGTACCTTTTCACTGTTGGAGCTACTACAAGAACAAAGACTCAAAGCACAGTTCCTATGCAGTATCCCAACAAATCTGTAAAGTGGAACCATCCTACAATCATGACAAACAGATTGTCCAGGTGTTTTTTTCAGCTATTAATCAGACTCTATGTTTAAACAGAGTAACAGGTTGCTCTTAAAAGAAACCGAAACATCTATTATTTCATAGAAATTTAACCACTGATGATGTTTCTTTCTTTGCACAGCAGCTCAGACGGTTGCAAAGACAAGAGGCAGCAACGATGTCATCATGGATATAGTCGTGTAGCCCGACAAACCAGTAACAAGCGGCCAAGAAATTCTGCATTGCTTCCAACCCTGCACCACAGAAGATTTATTCATTCATTCAAGGTCAGCAGAGATTGTTGCGAAGAGTTTACAAAGACCTCGTAGACGTAATGACCAACAAGGTCCTACCATGCTTATCGTCCTCTTTTCACATGCCTTCCAAAATGCATATACCCATTACAAAAATGACTGGCATATTTCAGAGTGTCCTGATCTGACACCTCTATGGTCATAGTTTAGGCAATTAAAACCCCATGGTTAAGGTTGGGGAATAAACACTGTAAAAAGTAACCAGATGTAAACATACATCCACAAGGAGTGGGATTATATAACAATGATGTCATCTAACGAATGATAAATTATGATTAAATTGGTTCTCATGCTTAACAGATTAACGTTAGTTTACATGAAAGGCTACATAAATTGCTAAATTGCAATGGATTACCTTAATCAGTAATAACCTACCTGATACTTTACTATTTCCACTGTTTCCAGTGTCAACAATGAACCATTAAACTAAAAAAATAATGCTTTAGTCCTGTCTTTATTACTAACAGTATTCTTGTTTATCTAGGGCAACAAACTGTCTCGATACTTCTTGGAAAGCTCGAGCACAGTAGTAACTGACGGTAATAACTCTGTTCAGACCTTCTCCCATCAGGATGTTGGGGGTGGGACGGTCAGAGGACAAGGTTACGTGGTATTTTAGTAGATGAATCAAACTGAAACTTGGGGGCAGACGCAAACAGATCTTTGAAAAGTGAAGGTGATTGTCCCTCCAATCCACTGTGGAAATAACAGTAGTGGTCTCCAACGTCAGCATCAGACACTTCACATGTCTGACTACCCACCCTGACTCTTTTCTAATGGTGAGAAAGACCACGAGTGGTCACTTGTCAAGTGTGGACAGAAGATTTCCTTTTTGTTCTTAGGTTTTTTTAATGCCATATTCTTTAAATGTGTTGATGAGACACAAGATGCAAACACAGAGAGAACTAGCTTAGCTTAGTTTAGCTGTGTAATTGTTGTGTGAACTACTGCTGTTGAGTGTGAAAAGGAAGTGGAGGAGTCATGAGCGTATGTGTGTTTAGAGGGTCGTTTGTGTGAGGTGTGAAGTTTTTACCTCAAACATCTTTTGTTTTGTCTTTTTTTTTTGTTTTGTTTTTTCCATTTGACATTTCATCTCTGTCCAGAATTTACTCAAAACTTTACGCAACATCAGAGACGCGTCTTTCGCTGGACAATGACACACTTGTGACACCAATAACTTCTGTAAATGACAATTTAGTTTTACTCTTTTCTCACATTCTTATAATATAATATAAATGTTACTTTAAATTACAAACAGGAAAAGCTTATTCTTATTAATTTTCACTGATCTACTGAAATGGCCTGAATTTCTGCCTGTGTGGGTCGGTTGTGGTGAGATCGAAAGTATTGAAACTAGATGAGTGTTATTTCTCAGAAGTGCATATATGTAGAGGATGTTGTGCCATTTTAAAGCCCACAAACAGGCCAACTGAAAAAAAACATTATGATAATAAAATATGTCCAGTTTAAACTGAAAAATCTGTGAAATGACTTCAGATTAAAGAACAAATATAACTCTACTGGACACAGGTAGAAGCTTGTGCTTTGGCACATTTCATTTGATTAAATAACCTGTATTATGTGTTTTGCAATGCGATTGGAAACTGCTGTGGTTTGGCTGCTGAGTGAAGTTTCTCTCTGTTGTTTTCTGTGGTTAAAACACAATAAATCTGAAGTCTGAGAGTGAACAGTGAACGTCCCTGATACATACTGTTGTATTGCTAGAATACAGAGCTGTGTAAATGGGTCACGACCTGCAGTGACCACTTCTTGGAACAAGTTAAGAAACAAACCTGAAATTAATTTGAAGCTAAATGGATCTGTCATAATGAAGGAAGAGATGATGTTTTCAATGGTCACAACAGGAAAGTCACATTAGAAAAATCTTATATAAATCAAACAACAATAATATAAAATACGAAATATGTCATGAGGTAACAAGTAATATTTGATTGAATACATTATATTGATGTTTCGATAAGATAAAAATGTACTACACCAAGGGAAAACAAAGGTAACACATAAATGTAAAAACCTTAAAGGAATGGTTCAAGATATTTCTTTCTACCTGACAGTTAGATGAGAAGATCGATGCCACTCTGACATTTGAAACTGCTTGATCGTAAAAACATAAGTTCCCCTGCTGCCTTAAAGAATGAGTTAAATAAACTTAGGTTGAATATTTGATTCAAAATCGTTTTGAATATTGAAAATGTAATATCAGTGTTAAAGGTTAAAGGTTTAAAGGACAATAAAGCAAAGTGGATCAGAATGAATGAATCACCTGTATTAAGAGGTCGGCATTTATTTTCACATGTACAAGGAAAAACAGGTAATAATACATTATGCCCAACCTAGGGGGGAACCTGAACATAGCATTAAGTGACTCACCTCTGGGTAGAGGTGTTGGGGAGCGTACAGCCAAAACAACAAACACAACAATAGATATTTACATTATGTACAACAGAGGTCCAGCTAACGAGACTAAAACAGCGGTCACTTCGCACAGCACAGCGTGGCACAGCGTGGTTGGGAGCCAGGAAAGAGGCATCGACAGGCACCAGTTTTAAGTCAGCACCATCAGTCTCCAGTTCAGTCACCAGCCGTCACCTGCAGCTCAACATACTGAGAGAAAGAACACTCACATAACAGGTGAACAGCGCCACCCTCAGACAGGGAGGGAGAAGAGCACCAGAAAAGCAAAATCACACTCAAATACAAATACAAGTTTAGAATATAGATTGTAAATAAAGATGAACGTAGCCTCCGTGACTTCACCCACAGGTTTCTAAGGAGCTGCTTTGAAGCTCAGAGTGAGCTGCTCCATCATCGTCAACATGGCAGTGTCTGACTCCGCCCCTGACTCCCGGCTAATCCAAAAATGGACAAAGAGGAGGGGCGTGTGTGGAGCTGAGATTCGGTGCATTCGGTTTGCTTGTGGCAAACATATAGTCACGCACTCAAAAAAGGCCACGCTCTCAATTCTCCATAACTTCAGTCCTTAATAAAATGTAAACAGGTGAGTTATATAAACAGGTGTCATGAAGGAGTAAATCAGCTCTAGCTCTACTGGATCCAGACTCCTGCCTCTCCAGCATGATCAGAATATGGTCCAAACACAGTTTTCAACCATTAAAGTACATTTACTTAAAAACTACATTTTTATACTCATCATATATCATATTTGTCTGAGGTTCTGTAAAGAGGCTATTTACAGTGTTTTCTGTTGTCTTTAGCACATCATGGTGTGAATATATCGGGTGCATTAGTGGGTTTAGCAAGAAAATCACATCAATGAAAAGCACCATTTCATAGAAAATAGACCTGTGCTAAAAAATCTGTCGGTCAAAAAAAGACAAAAAAAGAAATCTGCTATATTAAAGGCCACACATATGAAGGAGCATTTCACCTCAAGAGTATTACAAAATCATAATTCATATATTAAAGGTTTCAGCCCTCAACAGAATAATTGGCATATTGCTTTTACATCACATTGTTTAGTAATTATTTCAAAATAATGGATGGAATAAAAGCCTCCAAACATGGTAGCTGGGTTTAGAGGACCAACAGATATGCTCAAGTACTAGTGTTTTCCTCCTGGCTGCTGCTGCTGCTGGGAGGACAGCAGCGGCTGCTGCTCCTCCCGCTCCTTGTCCTCCTCCTCCTCCTCTTCCTCCTCCCGCTCCTCCTCTCGCTCCTCCTCCTCCTCCTCTTCCTCCTCCCGCTCCTCCTCCTCCTCCTCCTCCTGCTCCTCCTCCTGCTGCTGCTGCTGCTGCTGCAGGTGGCTCATCAGCATCTTCTGTTCTTTGACCATTTTGATCAACATGTGATCAGTTAGATTTGGGGCCCCATGAAAAACACATCGCAGTGGCCCCCACCACCACAGGCCACACCAACCCAGAGAGTACAACAGTGTGCAACAATAAAATTCACTATTTAATGCAAGACTGACACCTTCTATAAGAAAAGTGCTAAAGTCATCTTTTATAGTTTAGCATCATTTTAATGGCGAAATTCCATAACATTAATGAATAATGAAAGATAAATATAACTTAAATATAATAAGTAGCTGATATTAGACAAGCAAAAGTAGCCAACATATGGGCACACAGCTATTTAACACAGACTTAAAAATTAGAAACCCATTCTTTTACACAGGGAAAATGAAGAGAGGAGAAATTTGTGACTTACTGAGATTTTCGCGATATACAAAACAGATAACGGCTTAAATGAACACGAACAAGACAACGGCCAGAATCCCTGAAAAACAGAGAAAAGAATTGTTCTTTACTTTGAGCTTCTAAAATTTCCTGCTCAGGTGTCAAACTCAAGTCGACACTGATGAAGGTAAAACTGTCCTGAACAAACTCAACAAGCAGATGGAGCTTTCACACTGTCTCACAGATTTAACAGCTTGTTGTAGAAACGAGGGACGAATGACACAAGTTATATCTGCAGCTACAGTAAAGACACAACTTTCTGTACTTACACCAAAGATCATCATTCGATGTCTCTGTGTCTGTGAAAAAAGATTAACATGTGAAAAAATAATGACAAACAAGAAAAGTGTTGTGCTGATAGTTAATGGGGATTCAAGTAAATCAAACTGAGGATATTTACTGCCTGAGTTGTTGGTGCTCTGATGTGAGTCGTCTCCTGTGTTTCTCCTGTCTGTAGAAAAAGTGTGTTAAACAGTAATTATGTGTATTCTGTTGAAGGGGATAAAACTTCCCTTAACATATTATAAAAATAACATGTTTTCTCTCATTGTGTTTTAATATGTAATAGGTTAGATGTACTCACTAACAGTGAGGCAAACGTGGGCCATGATCACGTCACTGTTGTTTTCTCTCACATGGCAGGTGTAATTTCCTGAATCCCTTTCTGTTACATTCTTCAGTTTTAGGGAAATGTTTCCGTTACTCATTTCATCATGGAAGAGAGACGCTCTGTTTTTGAAGTTCGCATCTTGAAGACTTGCATCATCTGCGTAACTTCGATAGACGTGCACCATGCTTTTATTTAAAATCCACTCCACTCTTAGAGGCGTTGCGTTGTACTTGGGTTTCAGGAAGCACTGAAGAACGACATCATCATGTACTGCTGCAGTAATTTGTCCTGAGCAAATCACGTTTGATTGTTCTGAGGAAATAAACATTGCATTTAGTATTAATGTTGAAAAACCATTCTTAATCAGTATTGTTCAAAACTACGAGGACTTGTCCTAATGGAGGAATTACACTTACTAGTATTTTATTAGGACACAATATACAGACTTAGCTGTGTAAATCTATAGCCAAGTTTCAAATCAAATGAACCAAAAATGTACAGAAAATCAGTGAAGAGACGCTAGGCCTGAGATCATGGATGAAGGGATATTATAAGAATTGGCTCACCAGCCTGTTGTTACTAAAGAGAAACCTGAGAGGTGCCCGGTCCTGAACAAACTCAACAACCCCGTTAACACAGAGATTCAACAGTCCTATCTGCATGTTGACTACATCATAGCTGCGGTAGAGACAGCACGTTCTGTACTTCCTCTTTCTGTTTTCCGTCTGTGCACATATCAAAATATGTGATAAAATAATGATAAATGAAAAGTGTCTGTTGTGCTGGTGACAGTTAGAGGAGATACAAATAAATGAATGAAACTCAAGATATTTACTTACTGTGATCATCGACCTCCTTTTCTTTGTCGCATTCCCCCACTGGAACTGTTGGAAAAGTGTGTGAAATGGTAATTGTGTATATTGTGTTAAATAATATAAGTGCTAAAATACCCTTAATAAATTACAAATATAACGCACGGGATCAAATCTGCTTCATAACACTGTGCGCACATACACCTCCATGTAAATGTGCACACTACAGTCAGCATTGACATTTCTGTTCTTTAAAGACACGACCACAACCGTTCTGTAACTTTTACAATGAAGGTCCTCTAGTGTTAATGCAGAAGTCATTTTAACCTAATGTATAAAGCCACTTTATACTTCTACTATACTACATTTACTTTTTATTCCACTTATTTCACAAAGAATTCATGATTACAGGAACCTGATTTACTGACAAACTCTACTCAACTGTTTGACAAGTAGCCACAATAAAATGCTGCTTGTCAGTACAGGAACCAGGCAAATGTTTGGGGCCCCAAAGGGCAAAGGTCCCTCATATTACCACAGAGACACTACATAGAAACTGCTGCTTCCCCAAAACGCCCAAAAGTATGGCCCCTGATGACGTGTGCTGTAGTTATCTACCGAATGCTTTCACGGTAGACGTTAAGGGGACATCTGTGGCAAAAAAATAATGATAAATACCCAAACTGAAAATCACATCTCTGATGTTCAAACCCAAACCAGGGGAAAATGTGGTTGAGCCAGATAAACAGCAGCTTATCAAACCAGCTGAGCGGGTAGACGATTACGTTTACTTGATTTATGAGCAGCCAAGGCAAATATTTACCTCAGCTGATACTTAACTGATCAATATATCGTCTCTAATTAACGTTTTATTTTAATTTTGTTTAGTGTTTCAACAGAACGAGGAAATAGCTTACCTGCGATGGTGATTAAGGACAGCAGAACGATCAGGTATAACTTCATTGTGCTCGCTGGGTAAAGATCAACTGCAACTAAGAGACAAGCTGCCGGGGAACCCGAAAACACTTTCTCTTTCGTTTGCATCTTAAACACCCCTCACATGCCTCTTCACGCCCCTTATTATTGCAACAGATCTAAAAGTCTATTCCCCGGACCTCAGCTTCCAGCTTTAAACCAAGAGCTATGACCACACTACTCCTGATTCTGCTTCTTTACTCTGGCTCCCAGTGTGTTTCTGAATTAATATAAAGATCTTTCGAAATACTTTGACGGCTCGTCACAACCTTTCCCTCACTTACATATACAGCCTTTTATGGTGAGTCAGTAACCTATTGTTTCCAACCCTTTATCTGTCCCACAAATCTGGTTGACAACTACAGGGTGTGTATAGGGTGTGTACAGTCAGGCCTGAGTATGTCTACTAACAGCTGTGTGAGAAGCGTTTTCACCTCCCACAGCTCTGCGACAGCTACCTAACGTCACCAGCCTTATACTATTTGATTTTTAATACCAATGCATCACTGGATTAGCAGCATTTTACTGATGTAGCTGGTGAAGGTGGAGCTGGTTTTAAATGTGAAATAACAGGGGAAAGGTGAACTGCAACACTGGTAGAACTACTGAATATAAACATGTTGATGTTGGATGAAAAACTATTGTTTGAGTTTTCTCTTCTCTCCCCTAACTCTTTGATCTGTTACTGTGAATGGTTTTTATGTAAATATGTAAAGAGTTGTTGTGTCCCCTTCTATGTTGAGACCAAACCTACGCCCTTGATTATTTGTGTTGTTCCATCATTAACACGATTTTGAATTTGCAGGGTGTGAGTATCACGTTTAGCCACTGGGGGGCACTAGAGGAAGTGCAAACTTTCAATACAGCACACATAAAGAAGCAGCCACCTCAGACTAACTCAAGCCAAATGCACAGTTAAGTATTAATGGATATTGTAACACATTTTATTCTTGGCTTTACGAGCTGTGGAACTAATTTGAAGGCAGTTCACTGCACAGTGTTCACTGGAAATAATCGATGGATCAGATATACCCTAAAGCAGTGGTTTCCAACTGGTGGGCCACGAGGGTATTGTAAATCATTTGTAAAACAGAACAATTTTGGTGGAAAGATTTAATTATACAAGAAAAAGACTGTCTATCACAGCAAATGGAAATAACTGGAGAATCAAAATGAACAGCAACAAGAAGAAGAGCTCTGGTGAATCGACAAGTGACGTTATTTGGCCTTTTGTATTGTTTGGGGTCAGATGTGAGCAACCAACAGAATTTGAGAATTTGACTTGGAAAAGGTTGGGAACCGCTGCCTTAAAGAAAGCTTCTCACATGAGTCTTTTATCACTGTCTCTGTTGAGGTTGTTTATGGCGGCTTCATTTCCCGTTTCTCTGAAATGTAACCATCACCTCTCCTGCGGCTGAGACTGTTTCCTTTTGATTTATGCCGAGGTTTGATTCTCGTGTTACTTCGATTCAGCCAGTAAAACGTTCATCAACAAACTGGGAAACAAGTCCTACAGAGACTTTAGGTGGCATTTACTGTCTGTAGAGCCGCGACAGTCACTCAATTAACTAATTGGTTGATCATCAGAAAAATAAACAGCAGCTATTTTGATAATAGATTAATAATTCTTTCAGCAAAGATACCAAAATAACACCTCCCAGGTATTAAGATGTTTCTGCTTTTGACTGTTGGTTGTCCGAAACAAGACATTTAAGGAGCTACGAATTGCAGATTAGAGACTTTTTTTCACACATTGTTTGATTAGTTCAACAACATGATTTCCTGTGTTTGGTCAGGATGTGGTAGATGAGGGGGTGAAGATGAGAGGAAGTCGACACAGAATGGAGATCGCATCTATCTGTCTACTGCTCTGTGAGTAATTCTATTTTTGTTTTATATTTTGCTGTTTCTTTTTTCTCCATCTTTTCTTGATATCATAATTTGATAATAATCATCCTGGGGTATCCTGCGCACAACACCTTAAGTTTTCTACTTAAGTCTGACACTTAAGGTTTAATTTCTCCTTAGCTGAGGGAGTTAATTAAGGGTGTTGCATATAATCTTTTAACAGGTTTCCTGACCGGAAAGATCATGTGGCATAAACCCGAAGAGCAACATTGGAGTAAAGATAAAGTCAAAAGTGCCTTTAGTTTTTTCCTTACTATGGTTGTTAAGGTGTTTTGTGCAAAGGTTTAACTGACTTTAAGTGATTCCTTAAGCATAAGAGCAAGATAAGGAGAAAAGCTGAAATAATTAAGAGAACAACCTTAAGGAGAAGACTTTGCATATTTTGTCAAGGAAACCTTATTTCTGACTTTCCTTAAGTTGTTCACTTAAGGAAAGTCAGTTAAACTGTTGCACAAAACACCTTAGCGATGAGAGTAGGACAAACCAAAGCCACAGTACCTTTCCACTCAGCTGCAGCTGTGGTGTTTCATGTCCACGGATCAACAGTGGGCTTTGTCAGTCACCGAGTTTCAAATGCTCTTATTGAAACTGTGGTGAATTTCCTGTCAAAACAAGATGACAGTGAGACAACAGTAAACTTCCTTAAAGTTAATGGCTTCCCAAAAGTCTGTCACAAGTGCTAATGCCAGCAAACAAACAGGAGAGAATTATACAGCTGTAAAGTCTCTTTCATTGGTGTAAATGCTTTGAGTCACTCACATAACGAGATGTTACACCACAAGTAAAAACCTGAGGTGTTTGGTGCAACTGACCCATGGTTGTGAAAAACCTTTAGCATCCAAGGGGGTGTGTGCAGCCACAGTTTTATAATGACGACATCGTCTGACAAAATAAACATGAACTCAGGTTAATGACAACAGCTATGTTAAGCATTTACCTTGGCTTTGCAAATGAACAATCACAGTAAATAAAGGTTGTCTTATTATCTATAGCCTACTGGCAGGTCGCCACGCTCTGGCAAGTGTTTTTATTAGAGCTCTATTTTAAGAGCATCGATACTAAACACATTTAGAGTTTCGTTAATGCGGCGTGTAGAGCTGCACAGTTGGTGGGTTCTTCACTACAAGCGACTCCTTTCACATGACTCTCAGTCACTTAAATAGATCTATTATTATCATTATCATTATCATTATTCTACAAGCAGCTGTAATAAGAGAAAAAGCTGATGTTGCTAAGAAGTTTGTAATAACAACTAAAAAGGTCATGACATGACCAAGTCATTGCAGGTTTAACCATAGCAACTGCAGCATAGAACATGTATGAAGCAGCTATGGACACAGAAAAAAATGAACTCCATTGACAATGATCTCCCCCTGTGCAGCAACACTGAGCATCACCCCCGACAGATCTCAATTCTTTTGGTATGAAGAAATCTTTTTGAGGTGCGCGACGCCGGCCAACTCCAGCGGCTGGACCGTGAGGAGAAACACCACCTTCAAGAAGTCCCAGCCATGCCAGTACGGCTGGGCGATCCCAGGTGACTCCTCCTGCACCATTGAGGATCCCGACATATCAGACACCGGAGTGTACTGGTGTGAGTCTCAACGGGGAGAGTGCAGCAACACCATCAACATCACAGTGAACGGTAATACCAAATGTGCTTGGAGCTTATTTGTGTTAATATTATGCTGTTAAAACCATTTGTACAATTAGAATTATTTCTATATTTCAGATGGTGTGATCCTGGAGAGCCCTGCACTTCCTGTGGTGGAGGGAGAGAAAGTGACACTTCGCTGCTCCTACAAGAAAAAAAGCCATCGTGAACCCACATCGGATTTCGACGCTCACTTCTACAAAAACGGCGTGTTCATCGGCACCGAGAGAGAGATGATCCTTCGAGCAGTGTCTAAGTCTGATGAGGGTTTCTACAAGTGTGAACATCCCTCAAGGAAACAGTCACTGCAGAGCTGGCTGGCAGTGACAGGTGACGACGATGCTCTGCTTTGTACATTGTATATTTTTGTTATTTTTTTAGCTGTATATCCTCAAATAGTATTTGGTCTTCATAGATTTAAATTTGACTAATTTTAGGACAGAGAAAGTTTTTACTATTACACTTAAAGATCCATATTTTCTTCTTCTGTGTTTTATTTGAAGTGTTGATCCATCAGAAGATATAAAAACCATCTCAGTGTAGTTTTACATCTCCTCTCTCAGGCTTCTCTCTGGAGCTCTAGTAACAACAGGTCGGTGAGCCAATCAGAAGAGAGGAGGCTCTGAGCCTCTCTTCTGATTGGCTGACTGTTTTCTGAGTGATCCAATAAAAATAAAGCAGATTTCAGGTAAAAACACTCAGAGAAACCAAATCCTGCAAGGTTTGGATGGTGGGTCCAGGTGGGCGGGGCTTGGTGACTGCTTTGTTGTGACATCACAAAGTTCCAGAAGTCCTGACGGCTGGTTTTAAGGCTCAGTTTCTGAATACAGGCTGTGTGCATTTCTCTGTGGACTGAGGCTTTGATACTTTCACAGTATTAATATAGAAGCTAGAGCTGATCTATAATCACACTACACATGGACACAGACCTTTACACTGGAGGAGCTTTAAGTTTTATTCCTAGCAGTGTGGATAAGGCTTTGAAAAATATATAGAAAATACAAACAGAAGCAATGAAATAATGTTTAAGCCTACCATTATAGAACTTACAGATCTGTCCATCACAAGCACAATGGAATAAAGAATAAATCAGGGGGCAGAGGAGATAAATCTATTTATTTGAATAACTTTATTACATCATCCTGTTGCAATATGGAATTAATGGATAAAGGGACATTTTCCTGTTATATATGAACCAAAACTGTCTGAATATGGTTGTTTTCTTCCTCACAGAGAAACCTCAGCGAACAAGCATCCTGACCACTCATCCTCCTCCACTGACCACCCACTTTCGCACTGGGTTTCTAGTGTGTGCCACCCTGCTGTTAATTCTCTACACTATCGTAACGATAGTGAGTATTTACGTACACCGAAAGGTGGCTCGAGGTAAGAACATCTCTGAAAATCTTAATATCAGTACAAGTTATTGATCTCGATACTGATTCTCTTTTCTGTGGAGAAGGTGGAGAAGCTTTTCATTTTCTACTGAAATTGTTGCTTATTATGAATTAAATTCCAATTAAAAAAATAAAAAAGGGTTACCATCTTGAATGATGCAGCTCCTTGTGCTGGTTTTCCACAGCTCGAGCTGAGGCTAAAAGAAGAGCCGCCGGTCGTCTCGAAGCAGAATGAGGAGTCGCGTTTCCTGCTCAGAGGAAGAAGAAGAAATTACACTGAAAAACTGACCAATTATATGCTGACCAATATTATTGCTTAATGTTATTGTTTTACAATCTCATAGCTACTATAACATGATGCTTAAATCAAGGTGACGCCTACATTGTTTATTTAACAATGAACTGAACTGAACCATGTTGAAAATGAGTTTTATTTTTAAAGAGTCAAACTGACATTAAGCTGGATGCTGTACACGTTATATTATTTACCAAAGTTTATCTGTACTGTCTTTGCGAAGCTCCAAACAAGGAAATAATAAATAGAAACTAAATAAACAGACGTCTGTATTAGTTTTAAAGGACTTTCCTGTTTCTCTCACTGTAGCTATTTGAATAAAGGAAAAGCTTCTTTAAAAATCACTGACGCTCTTCACTTCAAATGCTGGATGATGGAGAAAAACAAAGAGATATGAGGCTTAACAGTCCAGATAAATGTGAGCTCATTATTAGAGGTCACTGTTGCTCTTATTATCTAATGTGTTATAACATCTTATAAAGGGTTCAAAAAGTGTTAACAAGCTAATTAATAAATGAGTTATAAACCGTTCATGGATCCTTCATAAAGGGAGTCTGATTGTACAGTGGTACCTAAAAATGAATGAAGGGAAAATGAAGTGTTTTCCTAAATCATTTTCTTGACCCCACAAAGCATATTGACATGTTGTATTTCACATTCTGACCAGTAGATGTCGCACTGTTCCACATGATGAAAGTCTCCATGAGACGACTGAAGCCCAACCCCCACGTCACCAGAGCAGCTTCATTGATAGTGTCTCATCAACACTATTATTCCTGAAGATACTCATGGAACCATCAGTGACCCCTCCCACTGAGGTCGACAGCATCCTGACCTGAACCTTTCTCTCTGTGTACGTTGCTCATCTCATCTCATCACTTCTGGATTCTGCACCACAGGACTCTCACATGTGGCTTCATCTTTGTAACAAGGGTTTATGCCTCTCTGTCTGATCTCAGTCTGATCTCAGTCTGACCACATCCTGCATTGACATCTTCAGTCTCCTGGCAGAGAGCTGCTCCTCTGTTTTTACTCTTTAACTGTTAAATTTCAATGGTATTTGGACACACACAGACGCAGATAAGGTGCAGTGAAGGTAATCTCAACAGAAAACTGAGAAAAAACTCAGTTCTGTTCAAGTGTTTGAAACTGAAAAATATGTGACATCTAGTGGGCAACTTTTGATACTGCACTGTCAAAATAAAAGTGAACCTCCTTGACATTTTACTCAGTAAAAGCTTTACACAAATCACATATAAAATAAGTTGTGTGGTCACATCAGAAAATATCAAATCTATAAACACAAACAGGCTCATGTTGTTGTCACGTCAGTCACATCATTCACAGGCTGATCCGTGAGATCTTCATGTTTAAAGTCAATATTTCCCGTCAGCTGTGACGAAGAAGAAGAGACCTATAACCATCATATAGAATATTTACATCATGTGCACCTGTTGCTGCTGCTGCTTGATGTCACTCTGAGCTGAGCATTTATCAGCTTCTACCATCATCATCTCTCACCTGGTTCATCATGTCTGTTCAAAACTGTTTGTCAAATAAAAATACTCACAGAACCTAATTATGACACTGTTACACACTTCAAACAACACACACGTTGTAAATGCAAAGTCATCAATCAGGACCAAGATTATATATAGATCAGAAATACTCAATACTTCAGGTAACAAGAGTCAGTTCAGCTCAGTGGTCGACACTACTGACTTTGGCACAGGAGATCGGGGGTTCGATTCCCGGTCAGGGATCCAATGTGGACATATGTGTGGATATATGAATCCTTAAGCTACTAGCAAGTCCGCAAAAGGCTTGGATGTTGCCCAGGTCAACAAGTTCTGTGTCAGGCACCCAGTTGAAAAATGGGTTACTTAGAAATCTTTCAGCTACATGTTGCACTGAAGCAAATGTTTATTTATAGAAAATATCACACAGGGAAACACATGAACATACCAGAGCTTCATGCTCCATCAGATACATTCAGATTCAGGCAGATAAACATCAGCACCACCTGCAGCCAGCTGAGGGTTTCTAACCAACACACTGAAACACTGCAGGTAAAGGTCAATACAAAATAGTAAATTGTCTGTTACTCTTGAAGTAATAATGTAATAACTTTGCGTGCTGAGTTTAACAACACAACACAGCCTTGCATGCACCAACATGTGGTGAGTTACGTTTTAACCACTCGTGTGGATATGGACGGGTGGAGACTTGAGTGAAGTGTTCAGATTCAGTTATGCTGTCCATTTACAGCTGGAGCAGGTTACAGTTCGAACAAACCTGCTGCTTCTGAAGATGTTTCTCGGTTGGTTGCAGAATACACAGGAGGAGTTTCTAGTCATCGACCTGAATGATTGACGTTGAAATAAAGTAAGAACAGTTAGAACAAGTATTTGCATATACAACTCCAAAAACACATAAAAACATTCAATTTAAAAAATAAAGTATAAATCGCAAACATACCTCCTCCTTGTGTGTTCCCACGACAACGTTTATATATCACAGCAGCTCCACCCGCTACAGCTGCAGCAGCGACTTGAGACACCAACTGTGAGACCACAACCAGAGAGAGGGAGAAGGATCGGCCTTTATGTTGGACTGACAGCAGCTTCAATTTTACTGGTTCTCTGTCTTCTGCTCTACTCTGCTGTTCACGTTCACGTTTTACTATTTTACTTTCACCCACAGTACTCTCAGACTCAGACAGATCATCATGAACAACTACTGTTGACTGGGGGTGATGATGATATCCCCTCTCTGACCTGTCGTACAAATGTTCCTGTTGAGGAGACAGAGAGGGAAAGTGAGGAGCAGACTAACTGAGGAGTTGTATGAGTTTCTAGATAATAAAGTGAAGGAGTAAGCTAACCACAGACACAGGAGCTCAGTGTGAGGAGCAGCAGGATGCAGCAGATCACCTTCTCCCTGTGAGAGGAGACAGAGCTGAAGAGTCACAAACACATGAGACCGAAGAAGGAAAATCTACAGTCCGACTTCATTCAGTCAGTACGATGCTGCTTCCTCTTTATGATCCTGTTCATTACAAACAGCTGATCAGAGGACGGACACCAAGCCTCTATGATGATGTCAGAGACAATGTGAGCTACAGTCACGGTGATGTCACGTTTGTTTTGACGTCTCACATTCAGAGAGAAAAACTTCATGAGCTGCAGTGATGTGTTTCGGCCACAAGATGGCGCCAGAGTTAAACTCTCCTCTGCTCCTCTCAGCTCTCAGCTCTTTGCTGAACAGGACTCACTGCAGTGTTAGAGTTTCATGATGATCTGTCTCTCACTACATTGATCACATCTGTTCAAAGCTTATTGTCTGATTCAGGTTCAATGTGGTCTGATGATGTTTTAAACACAAACTGAGACAGAGAACAGAGAACTGGATTCAAGCTGCTAGACGACTCCACATCGCCCCCCACAGTCTGTCAGCAGAACTGCAGCTCAGAGGAAAACCTGTTCTCTAATCACTCAACTGCACAAATCCTTCATCCCACAGATTGATTAACAAGAGAACCTAATTATGACACTGTTACACACTTCAAACACACACTGAGTGCGCTCAGTTTCTGTTGCACGTTCGTTGAACCTCACCAGTCAGATCCTGTTTGTGGACATTGTTTCTTTGCTCTCAGTTTGTCACAGTGCTGCAGAGTTTCTCTTCTCTATTTCTCTCCATTTCTAAATGACTTCTAACACAGTGTGTAATGGAACCTCTTTTTTTAAAAATCAAAAATCAAAACATTAATGAGAAAAAGCTAAAAACTAAAGAGAAACAGAAGATTACACTTACACTTGCTGTGACTTGTACAGACACAGACAGACACCAGCACCATGTCACTGTTCCTCTGTACTGGACCTGAACTTCTTGTGTGAACAAAACACCATGTGTTTCGGTTCAGGCCCCATCTCCCTGTCTCTCTCTGTGTCTCATTAATTAATTTATTAAAACATAATTAAAGTCCTAGTGAGAACAGAAGCAACAGAAAGGCGTGATGGAGGGAAGAGCAAAATGAAAGAGGGAAGGATAAAAGCAAAAGTAAATTTCCTCCTTGTTGCTCACGGCCTCACAGATGTTAAAGCTAAGGGTGTGAAAATATTATTATTATTATTATTATTGTTGTTGTTGTTGTTGTTGTTGTTATTGTTATTATTATTATTAATAACAACTACAATATCAACCATTTTTGAAAAAATGAGACCGAGTTTAGAAAATGTATAAAAGTTGAAGCTGACAATCCTTTTTCAAAATGGCATTTCTTTAACAGAACCATGAACTCTGAAAGCAGCTGAAGCGAAAACTAAACACTGCTGTCCTTACAACAAGGATGTTTTAATGTTGTCACACACTTCACAGAGACAGAAGGAGAAAATATCAAGAAAACAGCTGATGAACAGGTTTGATTTACAGTAAGACACGTTCCACCAGCAAGAGCCTAATGTCAAAGGACAGATGTGTCTATCTATTAACTGATCTTCTTTGCCCCCACCCCCCCCCACCCCACCCCCACCACCACCACCTCTACCTCTACCACTTCCTCTTCTTCTCGCTCACTGCTTCAGTGTTTGCAAAGTTCACACAGAAACTCACTGGAGGTCTGACTGTAGCACCAGGACTCTGCTGTTCAGTGACTGTTTTAAATGTGTGTGTGTGTGTGTGTGTGTGTGTGTGTGTGTGTGTGTGTGTGTGTGTGTGTGTGTGTGTGTGTGTTGTAGAACTACACGGGCTTCAGCTTCTGTCATAGTTTGTAAATAGTTTCTAAAATCCCTGTATGCAAATGTATGTATGTAGCCTACATATATTGAATATCCATATATGAAATGTACATTTTTATTTTATATCTACATGGAAGAATTATATATGAAACCTGTTAGAAATTGGAACAATTTCATTTATTGACATATATATATATCTAGCCAATACAAATGTATACATTCATTTATATATGATTTAATTATTGACATGTGTATAAATATATATCCATCCCACAGCTTGTCCGTATATTTGATATTATAAACAGTAGAGTCCAAAAGTCTGAGACACTTTCCCAGAGTGTGAAGTCGGACATGAATGAGAAATGAATGAATGAATGAGTTTTTTTATGTTGTTTTAATAAACTTAATAAACTCTAATAAACTAAATAAATGAAATATATAATGTTAACACATATTCACACATATAAAAATGTTAAAGTCATATGCTACATTTGTGTTTGTGATAGTGTCATTTTCGCTTTAAGCTGCTGCTCTTCAGCTTTGCTCCGTGTCTCAGACTCACTGAGGAAATCCAGTCAGTGTTTTATTACATGTCATTAAAACACTGTTGTAAACTGGAGTAGACACCAACACACTTTACAACCACACAGTGGCCTGACGCCTCGGGAACCTCTGGACTAAAGCACCTTAAAGAGACGTAGTTCAAACGAGCTTCAGCTGGAACAGATGCAGCAGTGAAAAGCTGTTTTACTAATACTGGAAGTGAAGCTTCTTCCACCTGCTTTCATACTGTCTATAAAGGAAGAAGTATGACAGCATACCTGTGTAATATTGCTTTACGTGAAATCAGTGGAAGGTAGAAAATGTATATAATAAATATAACAAACACACAACCTGAGAGTTAAACATCTGGACCAGATGAATGCGTCTGCCAGCCGGTCCACTTACAGTTAATTAGCAGGTGAATTCCTGAGTTATGGCCGAGTTAAAAACCGTGACCTTTGACCTTTGACCACCAAAACCTAACTAGTTCATCCTTGAGCCCGGGGGAATGTTAGCACCAGATGTGAAGATATTCTGTCCAGATGTTCCGGTTTTCTTTGGCCTTCTCTGTGCAGTGAAACCCTCACACATGGACCACAACACGCCGGTGCATCTGGACTTTGATCAGTCTCAGAGGTCACATGATCTCCTTGCACCTGAGCTGAAATGAAGCAGCTTCCCTCCTTCGTCTGACCTTCGATGACACAAGACATCGCTCCACCTGAAATGTTAAGAAAAACTCGACTTGGGTAAAAATCAGTGAGCATTTATCTTTAATTTACCTGATTTCATGGTAAATGTTCATTCCCACCACCAAGCAAAGTAACAATAAACATACCTTCATGTTGTAGACGTCAACCAACCAGTGCTGCGAGACACGGTGTCGCTTCAGCCACCAGATACACGGCGTAGGCAACTAGCACTATAAGAGCTACGGCTGCCAGGTACGGTCCAACTCTGCTTGATGTCTTGCATCTGTCTCGTCCCTGCTCTGGGGCTCCTGCTGGTTGCTTAGCACCTGCATGACGATGGTACATCAGTGTCGTCAAGTGCCTTCGTGTGTGATGTTTTTCTGGTAATTGTCACAGTATCCGAGTTTATCCGAGCTCACAGCGACATACAAGGCAAATACAAATACTGGACGTGGCGCAGCCCAGTCCACATCTTGATTATTCATCTTGAGTTAATTAACTTAAAACTAGTTTTAGTTTAAAAACGTAACTTTTCAGTCCCCACGCAAATTGTCAAACCGCAACTTTTCTGCAATTTTGCCCCGTCATCATAGTTTCCCTCGAGTTGAACCAATCACACGGCTCCCTGCGCAAAACCTGGATGTACGGCACCAAACTCACGTCCGTGTTGAAGCACGTTGTGAAGCCGCAGACGTGTGACATGAAGAGAGATTACAGCCCTAGTTCACACCTTCAGGCTTCAGTACTGCAAGATCAAATCTGGCACTTGACACTTAATGTCTAGGTCATTTTTAAATGCAAACCTCAACGTTTCTTCAAACATCTTCTGACCTACCTGGAGTAGTTGTCCGGCCAGGTGTGTTGACGTTCTTTTGGTTTACACTCAAGACAAACTCCTCTGTGGGTGAAATAGTGAAAGTATCAGCACAGTAACATTATCTTCCCACAGAAGTGCAGTGGTGCACGTTTCATTTTCCCTTTTAACCAAACAACTGGAGAGTCCACAGAGTCCACTCACCAGAGGCCTCCAGCTCCCACCGCCTCGTGGTTTTGTCGTAAGCAGCAGCCAGATCACACCTGTAGTTTCCAGAGTCTTCAGCTGTGACTGCGGACACCTGAAGTCTGACTCGTCCGTCTCTGAGAGCGTCTCTGTCGCAGTGAACCCGTCCTGCGAACCGCTGATGCTGAGACTCCGGAGCCTCAACGCCCTTTATCATCTGATAGAAAAGCTCCAGAGGCTCCGACTGGAGAAAACAAACCATGTTGCTGCGAGTCATGTCGGCTTTGGTCTGAAAGTCCCATCCGATGGTGATGTCACCGTTCTCCTCTGCCTCATAGAGGCGCGGAGACATCTTCACCAGGTACATCCCTGCAGAGAGAGAGAGGCGGGAAAGAAAGGCTCACTAAGGATTAGTGTCATGTACACAGTGTGTTTAAATGAAGGATGAGCAGCAGTTTATAAAATGAAGTAAAACCACTCACACATAGAGATGAGCACGATCAGAATCCACGCCATGTTTTCCCTGTGAGGACAGACAGGAGAGTAATGAGGAACAGGTCCGGGAACATTGTGGGAAATAATCTGATCATGTCTGTGATGTAAATATTAGGCTACAAGCAGCAACTGGTTATCTTAGCTTAAAAACACAGGCAACAGGTGGAAACAGTTCTGTTCTAATTTGTAGACGAAGAAGAGAAGACGATTAAAGTCCTGGTTGGATATTAGTTTTATCTTTACTGATGTTGCTGCAAAGTCACCAATAGAAGTAGAGAGATGTTGAGCCGGTGGTTTTATTTCAGCTCCCACACTCTTCCCAGAAGTGTAAGAAAAGGTTTACACCTTCAGGGCTTTTACTGTGGCAAATGGCAGTGGTCTGAAACTGGTGGCCCACAGGACAAAACAGGCCCCCGGCAATAACATCTGGCCCCTCAGATTATTTCCATTATATGATTTTTTTTAATCTAAAAAAAATAGATGTCCTTCTGAGCAGCAACAGTTACACACAGATTCGCTTCCTCTTTAGCAGTTTTGACGAGAAAATAAAACCACAACTGTGCGCTTTTATTCTGAAAAGTTCTGAACGGAGTCCTAAAGGTTCTCTTGTCTGACAGAGCAGAGGCGCGAATATGAAAAAGGACTGAAACCGGATGAGAAAGAGTGAGACTCTATGATCGTAACCACATTACTCTTACTACGGCTGTTTTTGTTTCGCATGTTGGAATAAACTATGAGTGTTGAACCTTGGGTAAACTGCTGACCTGTGGGTGAGCAGGAAGACAAGGAATCCATGACACATCCGGGTTTTACGGTTATATTGTTGTTTGGGAGTCTATCTACATCCTGCAGAGGTTTAGTGACGCACCTACTTTCAGGAGCAGGTGAGCAATAAAAGCGAATCACGGAGGAAAGGTCCGGAGGGGAACAGCTGATNAACCGGATGAGAAAGAGTGAGACTCTATGATCGTAACCACATTACTCTTACTACGGCTGTTTTTGTTTCGCATGTTGGAATAAACTATGAGTGTTGAACCTTGGGTAAACTGCTGACCTGTGGGTGAGCAGGAAGACAAGGAATCCATGACACATGCTGCTCGTGCTGGTTGAAAGTTGATCCTATAGACACAGAGAGAC